GGAGGAGGAGGAGGAGGAGGAGGAGGAGGAGGAGGAGAATTTAAGTGTAAAAAATTAATTCTGGTTTGATACTTTGAACTGTTACTAATTGTGTTAGCATATTGCCCAGAACTCCTTGGATCTTCGCATTCTGAAGAGACATCCTTGTTTGCTTCCATTCTAGCCATTTAGTCTGAAATACCCATAATTTGTTCAGTCAGTTTTAAGACAGAATATAGATATTGCTGGAAACCAGTTTCCCCCCCAGTATATTCTTATTCTCCTATCTTTTCTAGACCTAATTTGTGACCATTATCAGGACTCCCATCTCTTTAACATTTTCCTTATTTCTTTTTGCTTCCACCTTAATAAATTACCTCCAGTTCTCTTGAGGCTAACTGTGACATTCCTGGATGTACTGCAACTAAAATGCAGTACTATTTTCCATTTGCTCATTATTGATAATTTATTGATTGATCACAATTTTGCAACTGTGCTGTTGGAATAATAAAAAATAGACATAGCTATGCCTGCAAAGTGAAAAATGTATTCTCTCATGCTCTCATGCCCATGAGAGAAGAGGAAGTAATTAATTAGTCTGGAATGTAGTAATTAATTAGTTTGGAATAAAGAATCAAAAGAGAAGAAGAAAGAATCAAAAGAGAAGCAGAACTTTTGTTGGGCAGGACATACTTTCAAGGTAAACTAATAGTAGGATGCTACTCCTTGAAGATTTTATAGGGATGGAATTCTAGTTTAAATGAATGATGCAGCTGAGTCTGCTTCAGCAGGGTAGGGCAGATTATAAATCGGAAAAATAAATAAATAAATGATTGTGAAGAACTGTACAACTGAGCACTGCAATGTGCCCTGCCTTGGAAGCAGACTTAAAGTGCCATCCTAAGCAAAGCTATACCCTTCTAAGCTCATTGAAGTCAATGGGCTTAGAAGGATGTAACTCTGCTTAGGATAGTACTATTTGCCTCTCTTCCCGTAACAAATTAATCTGGTCCTCCAGGGGTGTCAAACATGCAGCCTGTGGGCCAAATCTAGCCCACACAGGGCTCCAAACTGCCTCCCCCAATCAGCTTCCTTCTTCTTCCTCCTCTCCCAGGGCTGCTACTGCAGCCACACCCTAGCTTGCTTTTTTCCCAGCTCTCTCAATGGCTCTTTGCTTCCTGCCTCTTGCCTCCCTCCCCTCTCACTCCCTCTCTCTCTCATTCACGCACACACATGCACACAGAGAGCTTTGTGGCTGCATCAGATACAAAAACAACTCCCCCCCTTGCTTGCTTGCTCTTTCTCACTTACACACACAGATAGAGAGAGCCTCATGGCTGCTTTGCCCAAGAGCTAAAAAGGCCGGCCTGCCCCCCACACACACATTCAGGGAGAGAGAGACAGATTGCTTCTGCTTTCTCCTTCAGGGCTGCTCCTCCTCTTTTTTGGGGGGGGAAAGGGAGGAGGAGAAAAGAGACAAAGAGAAAACAAAATTGGAGTCCCAGATTTAAGACCAACAACGTTTTATTCCAAGTATAAGCTTTTGTCTGCAAGCACATTTCTTTGGAGGGTGGGTGGATTTTTCTGACAAGCACAATATACATTGAAGAAATTATTTTGGCTTATTTTGAAAAGTTGTGGTTTGGTTTTTTTTAATGATTGGATTTCTCTGTCCTATCTGGATTTATTTTCTTCCAAAAAGACCCTGATTAGGAATAAGAACACTTGGATTGGTCCTTATATCTTGATGAGTGGAGTGATTTCGAATGCCAAATGATAATAGCACACATTGGTAATTAGACAGGAAAACTAAGTCTCAGTCCAGTCCAGGAGGATGCAATTCAGCAGTCTCTCTTTCTAATCTCCCTTTGAAATTCCTTCGTAAGAGCACTGCTACTTTTAGGTCAGCAACTGAATGTTGTGGTTTCTAATGTCAGACTTATGTCCATTTATTCTTTGCATCCTCCTGGACTGAATCCCCTAGGTTGGAACTGTGACCTAGGTTTCCTGTCTCATTACCAATGCTGATATCTCCACACCTACTTCCCCCTCTGCATATCACCTCTAATCCAGTCATGTCTGCTATTGCCATTAGGCATCTGAAAGCATCTTTATAAAGTTTATATCTCCGATACCTGGCATTACATTTTATGGCACATATGGCCCAGCCCAACAACGTTGCATTTATGTGAGATCCAGCCCTCGTAACAAATGAGTTCAACACCTCTGATCTAATCAAATGTGTAATCACATAATATTTCTTCATGTGTCTGGCCTATATATCAACTCATTTGATCAGACATATACAATTACACAGAGTAAACTATCTACCAGATTTTGCCTGATTAAACTTTCTGCTAGTTATCGCCTGCAATCCCCTTTGGTCCCTTCTATCTACTGTATATGGGGAAAGTGTGAAAGTGTTCCTACTCAACAAATCTGCAAAAGAACAGTGAAGTCTCTTAATGGATGCATGTTCCTGGTTCTTCTGCCCCAGCTTGTTGGATGTTATATTAACCTCTAAGGAATCAGAGAACTGCTTTGCAAAAGTTATTTGTGCAGATGTTTCTCATGCTGCTGTTATTTCTAAAATATGCTGCTTTAGCATTCTTTTGCTAGTTGTGATAAATTTGCATGATTCCAAAGAGGCATCCATTCTGTGACCCAGATCTGTATACCACATAGCAATAAAATTGTTATCCAGCTCTCAAATGCAATTGGTGGAGCTACACAGACAGGAGATAAAAGTAGTACAAGAATGCCAGCTAACAAAATACACATAACAAAACACACCCCTCTAAGTCAACTATTTTGTACAGGTTGTTGATATGTGGAACAACTGGGAATGTGCAAATTGAAACCTGTATACAGTGAGTGTGTGTTGTTTTTCATAGTCACATGTGAAGTATTTGGAAATATTAAGAGTGGGGAAAGCCATCCATCATACAGAGGTGTCAAAAAGCCTGCCTTTGCCTAAGATTGGAGATATTGTTCAAGAACAGCACATCCTTATGTAAAGATTAGCTACAGATTCTGCTAAGGTCATTGAGACCTTGGATAATCTGTTTAAGTACCTGTTGCATAAGTTAAAGCTTCTCATTGGCAGCTTTAATTTGTACACCTTACTCTTTTGTTTCTATTGAAGAGCCAGGGACAGCAGAGATTAACCATTTCATCTCCCGACTTCACTCATGTAGGGTTCCCCTCCCAGTTTAACTATGCATAGCAAAAGTAAACATCAAAGCAACTTTGACAAGTCAGTTTCCTCTTTTCTGTGATAGGAAAGAAGCAGAAACAATTTTTTCCGTTTCATTCCATTACCTAGGGCAGGGGTGCACAACTCAAACATTTACATGGGTCATAATGGATCTTAACATGAGCTAAGTGAGGGCACCTGGCTCTCCTATGGCCCATGTAACTGCTTGGGGGGGTGCAGTCAGATCAGCAGCTGTTTTCTGGGCTGAGCAGCAGTGTTCTGATCAGTTTCCCCAGAAGTAATGCTGGTGTGGATTTACCATAGATTTTCCAGCGATTCTTAGAGAGGTATGACATCATTTCTGGGTTTTTACCAGAAGTGATGTTACACAATTGGCCTGATGGCCTTTAAAAAAAAAAAGTCTACAGAAACAGCTCTCAGCAGTGACAGGAAACAAGAGGCAGGAGATCCCCCTGCCTGCACCTGGGGGACTGGCAACCCTAAGGCTCCAACTACAGAAGCAGCAGACCTCTGAATACCAGTGCTGGGAGGCGGCAGCAGAGGAGGGCTTTGGCCTATATGCCCTGTTTGACCTTCCATGGCAGCTGGCTGGCCACGATGTGAAACAGTATGCTGAACTAGACGGACCACTGGTCTGATTTGGCAGACTTTTCTTATGTGCCCTGGTGGCTACCAAATTCTGCATGAAGTGTTGGCTTTTGATGTTAAGCATGACTACACTTACTACAATTAACACAAAGTAATCCACAAAAGAGGTGGCATGCCTTAGCTAAGCAACGCTACTCTCAAACACCTAGAACAGGCTGCTTTAACTAGCATGACCTCAAACACTGTGAACCAGTGTGCTATAATAGTACATTCCTGGCTTTGGGTCAACTTGTTTCAAATCTTTGCTCACCCATGAAGTTCACTGTGTAGCCTTGGGTTAAGTTGCTACCCCTCAGTCAGATCTGTTTCACAGAGTTGTTGTAAAGATAAAATGGGATATCTCGGTATGCACCATCTTGAGCAGGAAAGGCAGGATAGAAAATGATACTTTAGCTGGTATTCCATTAACTTCATTGATATAAAATAACATCTGATAGCGAGAAGTGCCAAGACTGTTGACATGCATATTTACTGTGTAAACTACCAGGTCATGAATGTGGCAAATTAAAGCATCCAATGGCCTGAACTGCAGTACTGATGTTTTTGGTATGAACAAAAATCTTACAATCTAGGCAGTATGATTATGAGCTCAGTTTATGTAAGGCAGTCCTTGTTCTTATCATGTAGAATTTCTTCAGTGAATCCTACACTGGGATATCCACAGTGCAATAGTCATTAAAAAAACCTTACATCTTGCTACTCCGTGACATCTGGTGACTTCTGCACACGCACAAAAAAGCCTGGAGGTGGTGCTAAAATGTCACTTTCTAAGCAGGGAATAGGTAATGGCTATTCAGAACTGCATTCCCTACCATAACCTGCTGACACTGAAGTCAGAAGAAAGCAGAAAAACAAGTGTCCATGGTATGTGGATGGCAGAAACGGTTAAGCACTTGCATCCAAGCTCTCTGTTCATTCTTTTATCTCTTGACTGCAAAACAACAGAAATGTGCACAGTCTCTTATTTTACAGAATTTTGGCCATAGAAAATCGCCTTTTTAATGTTTGTACATTGCAAGCTTCTTGCGTATTTTCTAACATTTGGTTGGTCTTGAATAAAATCTGTGTGCACAGAGATGATTTATCTATTTTATTTATTGGAATAATTATATCACACCGTTCTGTTTAAAAAGAAATGCTCAAGGCTTACAATATTACATCTGTTTAAATAGATAGCTGCCACTACAAACTTACAAACATCAAAGAGGTTTTTTTTAAAAAAAGACCTTCTGAAATAAAAATATTTGCAGTTAATGCTGTATAGTCCGCAGTGCAGAGGGAAGCAAATTCCAAAGACGGGAGTGGGGTGGGGTGGGGGGTGTTTGCTGCAGACATGCTCATGCAGGTTCCCACTGATCAGATTTCTCCAATAGGGGGGGCTCCCTCAATAAGACTTCCTCAGCTGACATCAGAGTGTGGACTGGTAGGTGTAGTTGGAGGCTGTCCACCAGGTCCTTTGGGTACAAGCTCTTTTGGGCCTTAAAGCTTAACACCAGTTTTGGGCCTTAAAGCTTAACACCAGTTGCAGCTTCCAAACTGTTTTCAAAGGTGGCTCCACATACATAAAGCATGCAGAAGGTCCCAGGTTCAATCCCTGGTATGTCCAGTTGAAAGATCTGGCAGTAAATGGTGTGAAAGATCTCTTCCTGAGACCCTGGAGATCTGTTGCCAGTCTGAGTAGACAATTCTGACTTTGATGGACCGAGGGTCTGAGTCAGTTTAAGGCAGTTTCGTATGTTCATAGCATCTGTGATTTATCTGGATTTAATTTGTTTTTCACCCTCATCCAGCCTCTTATAGCTTCCACACACGCCCATTGCTTCTCTGGACCTTGATACTGGTGACAATTCCACTCAGTCCCTTGGATGAGCAAACCCAGGGAGAAAGTATATCTCTTATTGACAGAATTTTGCCATTCACTCATCCCTTAATGGAGCTAGGTTACAGTCTTTCTGTAGTCCTTCATGTGCTCTGCCACGACAGCTTTGCTCATCTGAGCAGGGCTTTCTGCAGATAGCCTGCAAACGGGCAAAAACAGCTGCTCAGCCATACATGTGTATTCTCTGTTGTGCCCCCCCCTTATGGAATGGCCTGTCTGACGAGGTTAGGAAAGGTCCCACTCTTCTGGCTTTTCACAAACTATGCAAAACTGAATTATTCAAGAGGGCTTTTCTAAACAGGTAGTAGGGCTGTACCGCAACAAAATGGTTTAGATAGACTTGGGTGAAGGTTTAAGGATGATGGTCTGTACTACAATGCATAGTTCATACTGCCTGTTGTTGTATGTGAGATCCTTTGCTCCAGTTCTGTTTTCAGATTTTTGGTTGGTTCTAGATTTCTGTAATGCAAATCTTATTGCACTGTTTATTGGATGTATCATCCTGTTGATTGTATATATTTACTCTCTGCAATCTGCTTTGGGTCCCAGGGGAAAGGTAGACTACAAATAATGCAAACAAACAAATAAATAAACAGGAGGAGAAGAGGGAGGCAAAGGCAGGAAGTTTTTCTTCCTAGTTTCACAATCAGTGAACGATCCTAAAAATGAGAAGACCTTACATGTATTATCTCTTTCATATTAACTAACCTGTATAAACAACAAATAGTCAGTGTTGTGAACCAGATATTATTTGGAATTAGGGAACGATCTAACAGCACCTAAGGATCTAAATTCCGCCCGTAAAATGGTTTGAGGCACTTCATAATATTTTGCATTAGAATGATTGTTCCTCTGACTGGTTACAAAAGGTTTTATTAATTTAACAGAGATTTGAATTCTAGCTAAGTAATGCAGTGTTTCTAGAGTGACCATCTTAATTTATTGAGAATTACTTCCAGTTAACTATGCTTAGGATGGGGGTTTCCCTCTGATTCATGAAGTTAAAAAATCCTCTTGTCCCTTGATTCACCCAATGAGTGTAGTTCTTTCAAAGAAAGATAACACACTAACATGTATTTGATCACAAAGGTCTGCTTCTAGGCTTTCCCAAAGATTTGTGCATTGGAATTTTTAAATTCAGAGCATGCTTTCTTTTGCTTGACAGTCTTTTGTTTTGTTGCAGGAGTGCTAATGACGATCCCAGGAAGCACCATTTCTTTAAGTCTATAAACTTCCGTAGGCTGGAGGCAGGCGTTACAGATCCTCCCTTTGTGCCAGATCCATCTGTTGTCTATGCCAAAGATGTTGCAGACATTGATGACTTCTCTGAAATTAGAGGAATTGAGTTTAATGACAAGGACAATCAATTTTTCAAGAAATTTTCCACAGGGGCTGTCTCTGTATCCTGGCAGAACGAAGTAATTGAAACAGGACTGTTTGCGGAACTGAATGATCCCAACAGAGTGATTGGTGCAGGTGGCAAGTCTGCAGTTTGTTTGTTGTTATAAATATGACATCAGAGATGAAAATATAGAAATACACCTTCTATTACTTCAAGGAATCAGAGATGTTAATCAAGGATTCATCAACATCCTTACGGCAAACTGAACAAGTTCTTCTGATACCTCATTAGAAATTTTTGAAATGAAGAATCAGGATTCTTTTAAGAAGATTTAACAGTCCATGTTGGCTTTTGACTAAAATGTGCAAAAACAGACAGACATTTGGATTTAAAATGATTTAGGATTTAAAATGCTTAGGACTGCCACCACTTTGGCAATGTTCAGTAGCAATTCACAGACGTTCATTGTAAAAAAGACTTACTGTTGGAGTAGAAATGAGACAGTGGTCATGAACTGATTTCAGCTAGGTAAAAATACAGAAATATTTATACAGGATATTCCTTTTTAGGTTTATATAGGTTATTCCTTTTTAGGCTTCTCTATGTATCTATCACTGGTATAACAGTCAACTCTCATTTTTGCTACCGGATTCACCTTTCTATCAGGCTTCCTGATAGTATCTTTTCATTTTGATGAAAGCTGTAGTTTAAATTAAACTACAAACGAGTCATGCCAGTTTGTAACTGGCCTTTCAGAAAGGCAACAGCAATACTTATTCTGCAAGTAAGGCGTTTAAATAAATTAATTGTTTTTATAAGTGCTTTTAATGTGGGGAAAATTTGCATCAATGTGTATAGCTTAGATGTGTACTTTATTGGTTCTTGTAAATGTCTTACTTCAAGAATCTATTTTTTGATATTTTGAAACAGGCCTGCAACCATGTGCTACTAATGTAGTGTTACCAGGACTCTTCAACAGCTGAAAACTATAGCTGTTAGAAGGCCAATGTTTGATGTTATGTTCTTAAGGTCAATTCCTTCTAGCTCGTTTATATTAATGCGAGGTACGGTTTACTCAGCTCCTCCCTTAATTCTGAAATGAAGTTGTTTGTGTTCACCGCCTGAGGGAGATGAAGAAATTTCATGGCAGAGTGCACCTTCATTCAGATTTACTCGAGAAGGCCAGCAGATGGAGGGCGGGCAGCCGCTATTGCATCCTTGCATTGTGCCTGAATCCAGCACAATCTCTTCTTTAAGGAACATTTTGTACAGTACTTTAATTGTCATTTGTATTAGACTTTTATTTCTAGCAGTTACTTCCAGACCCATTTCTGGGCTGCAAAGCACAATTAAAAAATAAAGACATTATATTAAAATGGATGCAAGCAGGAACTTTTAAACAGATGTCAATAAAGAATTCACCAATATTTGGATGTATTTTAGTACTTTACATATTCATTCTTCTGGATGGGGATAACCTATACCTTAATAAGATATTTCCAGTTCGTACAACAGTGGGCCCTCTTCAGGTAAAGCACAAAAATAAGCACATGCAATTTGCAATGCTGAACCTTGATTTCCACCCCGCCAATTAACATATCCATGTGGTTGTCATCTCATAGTGTTAATTCTAATTCAGATCATTCTGAATTTCAGACAATAAAAGTAATAACAAAGCTAAATAAAGACAAATCCAAAGTTTTGTATAAAGCTGTATAAATGTGTTTTTCTCTCTTTTTCCATACTGTTCCTTTACTGCTCATCCTTGTCTTGCAAGTTTGCACATTTACAGTGCAATCCTAATAACAATCTCCTGGGAGTAAGCCCCCTGTGTAGGCTTGAGTAGAATTTTGAGATGAGCTGCTCGCTCGAGGGATGAGCTTACTGGATTGAGGGAATGCTGTTGATGTTGTTTACCTAGATTTCAGTAAAGGTTTTGACAGGGTTCCCCCATGATGTTCTGATAGGTAAACTAGAGGACTGTGGAGTAGACTGTAGGATAGTTAGGTGGATAGGGAATTGGTTGGAGAACCGCACTCAAAGAGGGGCTACTCATTAAATTTGCAGATGACACCAAACTGGGAGGAGCAGCAAACACACCATAAGAACATAAGAGACGCCAATGTTGGATCAGGCCAAAGGCCCATCCAGTCCAGCACTCTGTGTCACACAGTGGCCAGAAATAACAGTGCCATCAGGAGGTCCACCAGTGGGGCCAGGACATTAGAAGCCCTCCCACTGTTGACCCCCCCCCCCAAGCATAGAGATAGAATTCAACAAGATCTGAACATGCTGGGAAAGTGGGCAGACGTGAACAAGATGCAGTTTAACAAGGATAAACGCTGAGTTCTACATCTGGGTAACAAAATGAGGAACGCGCATACTGGATGGGGGATACACTTCTGGGTAGCAGTGTGCGTGAACAAGATCTTGGGGTATGTGTGGACCATAAGTGAAATATGAGCAGCCAGTGTGATGCAGTGACAAAAAAGACTAATGCAATCTTGTGGTGTATCAACAGAGGCATAATATCCAAATCGTAAGATGTCATAGTCCCGCTGTACACTGCATTGGTCAGGCTGCACCTGGAGTACTGTGTGCAGTTCTGGAGGCCTCACTTCAAAAAGGATGTGGACAGAATGGAACAGGTGCAGAGGAGAGTGACGAGGATGATCAGGGGGCTGGAGACCAAGCCCTGCAAGGAAAGCCTGAGAGACTTGGGAATGTTCAGTCTGGAGAAGAGGAGGTTGAGGGGGGACATGATTGCTCTCTTTGAGTATCTGAAGAGTTGTCACTTAGAGGAGGGCAGGGAGCTGTTCCTGTTGGTAGCAGAGGATAGGACTCACAATAATGGGTTTAAATTAAGGGCGGGACAGTACCAGCTCGATATTAAGAAAAACGTTTTTACAGTACGAGTTGTGCAACCATGGAATCAGCTGCCTAGGGAGGTGGTGAGCTCCACCTCACTGGCAGTCTCTAAGCAGTGGCTGGACAAATACTTGTCATGGATGCTCTACGCTAATCCTGCACTGAGCAGGGGGTTGGACTAGATGGCCCCTTCCCACTCTGTGATTCTATGATTCTATGCTTAGGATGATACTATTAATTACTGGACTCTTGATACCTTCAGTGGGAGTGACTGGGGAGGGGACTGTCACAATCTTGATCAGCAAAGCGGGAAAAGTTATTTTGATTCTGTGTATTCTTCTATCTGAAGTGAAAAGCATAAAAAATATTAGCCAATGTTCCCTCAAACTTGTGTTGTGTTGTGAGCACAAATTCTACCTCATGAGCAAAAAAAGCTAGTAGCATTAAAGTTGTGAGTGAGTCTACATTTGACTATCGCATATATTAGTTCTTTAGATTATTTCCATAATCCTGTAAAAATCTTAGAATAAATTATTTTAAATTATATTTAAGACTATATTTTAAGAATAATGTAAACATTATAAGAGAAAACAAAATCAAGTGAAATTTCATGACAGAAAATGTCCTCTATGGTGGTAGACCAGGCCTCCAGAGAATAAGACCCTCTGCTTTCCACTATATTGGTAGACCTGGCCTCCAGAGAACAGGTTACCTACCCTTTTCCATTATATTTGTAAAGCTGGCCTCCAGAGAACAAGTCTACCCACCCCAGTCCACTATACTGGTAGACCTGGCCTTGGACTATCACCCTGCGCTGAGCCTTAGACAACATACCAACACTTGGGGGGGGGGAACTCTTGCATTCTACTTGGGGGGGGGGGTTGGTGTGTTTAGTGAAATATGACTAATTATAGGTCAAATATAACAGAGGTGCAACAATCACTGTCAGAACCATGCCTAACCTAAGAAACAGGAACTTGCCTAAATGTTATCAACCTGCCCAAACTACTTATTTATTCAAATATTTATATCCCACTTTTCCTGGGACTCAAGGCAGCTTACAAATCATACTGAAAAGCATAATGGGTGTGCAAAAACAACAACAACTATTTTTTCCCAGCTCCATTACAACCTATTTGGACCATTAGTCAATGGGCCCCATAGGGTATAATTGAGTATTGATCTGGGGTTTTGGGGAGCTCTGGGAGGGCTGTTTTTTGAGGCAGAGGCACCAAATTTGCAGCATAGCTACTGGTACCTCTCCTAACACCCCCCCCCCCAAGTTTTGAAAGGATTGGAACAGGGGGTCCAATTCTATGGGCCTCAGAATGAGGTGCCCCAATCCTCCATTGTTTCCAATAAGGGGGAATGCCTTAGTGTGAGCAGAAGTTTGAAATTCCTGAGCTGGCAGCTAAATTTCTGTGTGCCAGTGCCCCCTAGCACAGCTTAGAGGGAACTTTGATTAGCCCAGATAAGGTACATGTTTGAAATCAATATGTGGCTTAGAATTAAATGGGTATGGAACCAGAATTTAGACCAACTACTGTAGATATGCTTATTATATCACACTATGCCCAAGTTTTATATTTTGCCAAGTATAAAGTTTTATTTTCAGTTCCATCATATTTATCTCTAGTAGCAAGAATAATACTTTCAATCCCCCATATAAATGGCCCCTATAGGGAAAAAAGGATAAGCAGAGCCAGTAAAGGCCTCATAATATTGGAGGGGGGGAGGAATTGTAATAGCAAAAATACTACACCACAGGCAGGACTAGAGGAGCAGAGCTGGGATACCCCAGGGGGTTGAAATGTGGTTGACATACCCATGTGGAAAAGTATCTGAGAGCTAGAAGCCAGAGTCTGGTGGGTTAGGGCATAAGGTCACTTGTAAAAACTAATGTGTGCAGAAGTCCCCTGTTACCAAGCAGTGTATCAGTCATCCACAGATCAAGCCACGAGATTACAAACCACAAGTGTGTCATAAGCCCCCCCCCCAACCCAGGAATGTAAATGCTGAGTAAAGAATCTTTGATTAAAGATGCAAGTTAGCCAAACCACTCTTTATATAGGCCTCACAGACTTAGCGGCTTGCCTCAGTTACGGTTGCCAGCTATGGGCTGGGAAATACCTGGAGATTTTGGAGGTGCAGCCTGAACGGGGTGGGGAGGGGAAAGACCTCAGCATGGTACAATAACATAATTTCCACTTTCCCGTTTTCTCCTGATCTCTGTAGGCTAGAGATCAGTTGTAGTCTCAGGAGATCTCCAGGTGCCACCTGGAAGCTGGCAACCCTAGC